TTTACCTTTTGATATTGCACTTTTTAGCTTTATTGAGGAAATGAGCGGAACAGAGTGTCGTCAAATGTTGATCGTTTATTGAATTTAGTTACGGAAATTTTTTCACAGAAAATGTAAATGGCAATCAAAAATTTTTGGAAAGAAATATTTTGCTTTGAATGATCGAAAGAGACTTTTTTGAGTTGAGTTGATGTTATACAAGTGACCGTGACTCCTTCAGTTATCAATGAGATCGTTATGTGCAAAATTGCCAGAGGGGTTATCTTCGTAATCATAGTTGAATTGATTTACAGTTTTTCAAAAAATTGTTTTTTAATTTTTATTAAAATTATTTTGACAAACAAGTGTTGTTTATTTACATATGTCATAATCCTATGAAGATTGTTTAACTAATAATTGAATGTGTTTACAATGTTTACTATTTACTATTTTTTATTATAGTTTTAAAAATAGGGTATGAGAACATTTAAAAATAACAGAAAATGTTTGTGTTTTTTAATCAAACCATGATGGTCTATAGGAGTAAGATCGAAGATATTGTACAAAACATTAACTTATGGCGTTTTCGATTGGTAAATCTGAGCTAACATTTTTAATCGAGATTCATTTTCAGTCTAATTTTCAATTTCGATTGGTAAATCTGGGATAAAACGTATAACGCTCGAGATTAATTTATAACACTCTAGATTTTTTAGCCAGAATAGCAAAATTATCCTGAAATTAATAGCTGTTTTCTATGTTTATATATTTAGCTATCGTTTTGAAAAAAGGAATAAAATCAAAATAATAGCATATTTTGTTGCAAATGTATTATCTTATGCGACGAGTCTCCAGATAAATATATATTTTTTAATCTAATACTATTTGAGTTGCAGATTTTGTCATAATTACACTGTATAACTACACAGAAAATGAAGTTAGTTTGAGCATTATAATTAAATTAATTTATTTACTAACACAACAACAAAAATTTTATATTACTCTAAAAATGTTCGATTGGGTATCAAAATTGACAGATCTAGAGTAAACTTATATTAAAATCAGATTGAATCCAATCGAAAACGTCAATAAATTAATTTATTGTAAAATTGAAAGGTTTTTGTTTCTCTTCGTATTATTTCATCGAGATAAAACTTGTGTATTAGAAGTATTCTAAACCCTTCCAATAAAATTATATTGAAGTTTACGAATTACAAAAATATAACAATTAAA